AGTCTTGCCTTTGGAAAACACTACTCTGTTGGGATGGATCATTTTAAGAAAGGAAAGGTTTTACTTGCCAGTGTGTTGGTTGTGAATGATTTCTGTCAAATGTTTGCTAGATCTCTGACGAAAAAACCAAAGAGGAAGTAAGGAAGGGAGGAAGGAGGGGAGGGGGAGAGGGAGGAGGGGAGGGAGGGAGGGAGGAAGTTGCTAAAGGAATTGGAATGATGAGAAATACAGTGGAGGGACTTGGTGTGCTGGGCAGGATGGAGTAAGCCTGTTGGACTTTCTCTCCTGGTGACGACCACTAGAAAGTCTGCACAAACCTCAAAGAGAACCCCCCGAAGACTAGGGAAAGTTGAAAACAGAGGCAGGTCAAGAGCAGAGACAACGCGTGACCAGACCTCACTGGATGAGCCTCCGCGCCCCCCCCCCCTCCCCGCGCCCGGTCTGTTTTGCCACCTCTGTACCGCAGAGCAGCCCGGAGGGGAGCTGACCCAGCCTTCCTGGCAGAACACAAGGGGCCTCTGGAGCCGGGGTGGGCGGGGGAAGTTCGTTTAGTGCTCTTTTCTTTTCTTCCTTCGGGGCCCTGCTCGGAGGATGATTCCAGCCAAGCAGCCGCACGGCGACAGCCCCGGCCAAATGTGCCTCTGAAGGAAACCCCCCTTCCTGGCCAGTGGGGCCGGGAAAAGGGGTCCCTGCGGTCTAGAGAGTGTGAATATGTCAGGGTGGGGGATCCTGTTAATTTCTCCTCTACTTTTTCTCATGTCATTGTCCCCAGAGCACCCCGATTCACGTAACCATGAGATGGCTTGGGAGGCCAATATTCCAAGAGAAACCATGTGTTTCTAGTCAAAGATCCAGGAAAGGAAGTGCAGGGGGGTCTAAAAACGTGAGGACATCTCAGGGAAGAGAAATCTCGGTGACCTTCCAATTCCTGCCTGTGAATGTTCACAGCTAATTTAGTCAGAGTCACCAAGAGGTAGAAAATACCCAAACTGTATACAAACTGTGCTATATTCATGCAAAAGAATACTGTTCAGCAATAAGGAGTAATGGACGATTGATATGCCCATTAACTGGGTGCATCTTGCATGCATTATCCTATGTGAAAACAGCCATACTTAAATGGCTACATACTTAAATGGCTACTTATATGACAATAGGAAACTGGCAACATCATGAATGCTAGAAGGGAGCAGTGTTTGCTCAGTTTTGGGGAGGAGGAAGAGGGGGTTGGCTATAGGCTGCGTGAAGAAATATTTTGACATAATGGAACTGTGTTATCTCTTGATTGTGGTAGTATTTATAGAACTCAATGGTTTTGTCAAAGTTGATAGAACTTGGGGCAAAAAAGAATGTATTTTACTCTCTGTAAATTAGAAATCAATTGTAAAATGCAACAAAATAATTAATATATGAACAAATTCAGGAAACCTGGGATCTTTTCAGAAGCTTAATTCATTATTAAAACTAGGTGGCGCTCTTCAATACTTGCCAGTTTTTAATTTTTTTCTTCACATGTCTTAAATTGCTTTTATTCTAATCCCAAATTTAACTGACATTCGACTGAGTATGGAATGGTAAAATAAAATCTCTCTCTTTGTGTTTTTTAATCAGAATTTTCAGGGGCTGCATTTTGCATTGGATGCTGTTTAGAAGTCTGATGACACTGTTCCAATGCAGTTGCATGTCATCTGTCTTGTCTTCCTGGAAACTTTCTGGATTTTGAGGTTTCCCAATAATATCCCTTCACGTGGCTCTTTTTTCAGCTATTATGCTGGCACCTTCAGACCCTAACTTGCACATGGGTGACTTTAGTCCTGGGATATTTTCTTATCATCTTCATTTCCTCCCCTTTTTCCTCTCCTCTGGCGCTCTTATTATCCACCTACTAGACTTCCTGGCATTTTTTTCTTAATAATTACTTTTTTCTTGACATCTTTTGTTTTGACTGCATTTCCAGAGACTTTTCTTTAAAGTTTCTTCCGAAGTTTTACTTCACCTCTTACACGTTTTATTTTCACAAGGTCTTCTCTGCAACTCCCGCTTTAATTATGTTTTCCAAGTAACCTTTGTGTAATAAAGAATTTTTAAAGTCTCTTTGCAGTCATCGTATTATTTTCCTACTCTGTACTGTCTGTCTCTATTGACTTATTTCTCTTCTTTGATTTCGGTTCTCTTACACTTTGAGAGCCATGCACCACAACAGCTGACAGAAAGCTTTCCAGACGATCAGTGTGCTTCCCTATGAATGTCTCTTCCGTTAGGGGATCTCCACCTGCTAATTTCTGGAGGTACTTTATTTGGGGCCATTCAAGCTTTTCTGGAGAAGAATGTCGAATTTCCTGCTGCGGGCATTCATGACGAGACACTTGCTTTGCAGGACAGAGCTGGGGAGGGCCGCTGAGGCGGCCATGCTCCAGGATTGCCATCCACTTCCTCATGGCTCTGACCTTTGCTTCCCATCCCAGCTCGCCCCTGTGCTCAGAGCCCTAAACCCACGTTCTGCTGTGCGGCTTCCCCAGAGAATAAACTTCTGAACTTTTGGTGGTGGAATCCACCAGGTGCAGGGAGAGAAACCAATGCCCTGATGCATGATATTGAGGTAGAAAGTTTTGAATTCTTTGATGGTTAATGTTATGTGCCAACTCGCCGGGGCCCCAAGGTGCCCTGATGTTTGTCGAAACGTTATTTCTGGTGCACCAGCAGGTTGTTTGGATGAAATCAGCATCTGAACTGGTGGACTTCATCAGGCAGGTTGCTCTCACCAAGGTAGGTGGCCATCGTCCCATCAGCTGCAAAAGCGGAGGAAGGCAGACTCCCTTCCATCTGCTTGAGACATCAGCCGCCTCCACTCCCAGACCCGCACCAGGACTCACACGGTCCAACCGCTGCACTTGAACGGAGTCCAAGCTGTCCTGAGTCTTAACATTTGGTTTTGTTTCTCTGAAGAAACTAATTCCAGTTTCCAACCACTTTTTCCAGAGTTTCAGCTAATCCTGCGATTTCAGTTTTGAACCTTATCCCATCTCCCCCTTCTTCACAGTCCTTAAAGCGTGCAAGAGCTCAGACACTGTGGTGCTCTGCAGGGCAAATGAGTTTGTTTTATGTCGTTACCCCCCTCTGCCAACCAACGCTTTGGCTCTAAATTTCTCCACTGAACAAAGTCATTTATTTGCCTCTCTCTGCCAACTATGGCTTCCAAAACTGTCGAAATCTCTCTTCTGTCATTTTTTTGCTCTGTTGTTTAATATCCTTTTTAATGTCTTTGCCATCAATTTAATATATTTGGGGATAAGCAATCATTAGCCACAACGACAAAATATTTTCCCTTGCTATCATCTGCAAGAATCTTCTCAAAGGTAAAAAGTATTCGAGAGAAAGAGACTCGTATGGGCATTTGTTCAAGTTCTAATAGAGCTTACATATTATTTTTAGTTACATATAAATAAGTCACCTAAGCCATGCCAGTCACCTGGGCTTGAAACACGGGGATGCTAACAGGCCAGAAAGGTGACACTATTTGCCCAACTAACTATAATTCTTCCTCAGATTCCTTAAGAATGAACTCAAGCGTCACATCTTCTGTGATAATCATGGGCAGAGTTTGGTATTTATCTCTTTACTCACTTCTCACACACCATAAACTTCTGCTGCGGCATTCTTCACATTGTTCTATAAGCATGTATTTGGCACGGTGTCCCCCCCAGGAGACTAGACCGTCAACATTTAGAACCACGCTTTATACGTCTTTGTGTCCCGTTTGCCTCTGACATTTTTACAGCTACACGTGTGTTTGCTAGAAGAATAAATAAAGGTCTCCAGTGCCCCTTTCGCTTGACCGTGGTTTCCCGGGCGAGCGGACGACCCGCTGGAGAGGACACCGCTGATGAACACGCACGCCCCAGGTCGCTCAGCTACCTAGCATGTGTCTGACGGAAGTGGTGCGTCAAGAAGAGCGGGCATGATTTTGCCCTGAACAGCTAAGAATCCTATTACTTGGGGTTTTCCAATTACTTTAATCACTCATCCTCAATTTAGCACAGGTATTTTTCAACTTATTTTTAAAAAAGACCTAGAAATTTTCATATGTCATAAAAGAATCCTTCAGCATTGAAATATTTTATAACCGATGGGTTAGTCAGCGGGTGTGAATGCGGGGCCTGTGCATGTGTGTGTGGGAGCAGGTGTGTATGTAGGTGGGGGGGTTCACTTGGCCGGGGCAAAAGTAGGGTTACAGTTGTTGAAGGAAAGTGTAATAATTAAAAGTAATAATTAAAGTTCCGCATGTACTCACAACTGTACACCTATGTTTGCCCCACTCTATATGATGTGAAAAATACCCATATTTCTATCTCTAGTCTCGACTTGACGTAGAGGGATGAACAGTGTCCGCCTCCATTGGCTTGGGAAATACTATTCCATTGTCTTTTTAGTGTTATTGTTATCGACAATTCTGAATTGGAAAGAGGCTCACTTTCAACTTACAATCATTTGTCAACAATAAAAGCACACAGAAAAATGAAGAGATTCTACCAAGAACCTGATGAAATTGGTAATGGTTATCCAAATGTTATCTCCCTTATGTGTTTTACAGATATTTGTAGCTTTAGGGCAATCTGATATATGTAAGTCTAATGTTTTCAAAGAGATTAAGTTAGAAGGGAGTCATTCTAATTAAAATTGTATTCTGTGTCTCACAAAAGGATTCACTGAAGGGCACATTTAAATTAAAAAAAAAAAAACCCAACTCTTTCATGCTTCAAGCATTTGTTCACAGGCTACTAAATAAAGAGAAGCCAGGCAAACAGGAACAGGGGACATCAAAGCTTAAATGGCATGGGATATGTCCAGTGAAGATCGACAAAATAACCTCAAAAATCTGATTTACACACACATTTATAGCAACTTATTCATTGAGATTGTCATGGCTGGGATAATACCCTTGATTTTGATTTTCATTACTATGACCAGTTCTTTAAAGGACTGACAAAAAAATCATGTACCTCGAAGTGATGCGATGAATTGTGGGTGTTGGAATATCGCTTGGAGTATCCTCCACAGTGGTGATTTGGGTTCCACTGCTTTTCACACAGGCGTATTTTGTGCAGACTTCGACCTGCAAACAGTAGTTTAGAAAAGCACACACGTGACTATTTTCAAAATCCAGAATCTCACCCACCCTCAGGCCACATGAATCTCTCAACAGCCTCTTGGGGAGGATGGAATATTAATTCCGGTTGGACTCCTGGGGCACAAGCTAAGCACAGAGTGCCGCAACGGGCTTACAACCACTGATTTCGTGGCAGCTGGTGCTGTTGAGTGCGTTTCCGACCGTTCAGGAAGAGGCTGATACAGCGGTCTATCTGGAGTCCAAATAAGGACTGGGCGATGCCAAGGTGACAGTTAGCAAGTATAATAGTGGTTCCTGTATACAGCTCTCAGGATCTATACCCAGGTAGTATAATAACGGGAGCTTCTGGAAATCTCAGCACTTTCCAACAAATGGCCTAAATGCTCATGTCTAGTGAAAAAATGAGGCCCAGGCAAGCCTTCCCATATTCTGAGCTATTTTATATCCATTTATTCCAGCTGCAATGGTATTTTAACCTTAATCACATCAGAAAATCATCATTCATCCCTTTAATTCTGCCACCTCATCTGAATAAAAACTGAGGAGGGTGGAATAACTAAAGATTAGAAATCGGGTTCATCAAGCATTAGTAACATAAAAAGAACACATTCAGCAAGGGGTGGGGGAGAGAAATGAAGGTACAAAAGATTGCCGCTGGAACGCCTAAGAAATGACATCATTCTGTTCTCATTTAAAGGATAAATCAAAGGGAAACTCTTCCTTTTCCAATGTTAGCAGACCTTCATTTATTTGTGCCATATAGTATTTTGAGGTATTATTTAGTAAATATTTAAACATTAGCAAGGCCCTACACTCTGATTTATGTCCAATTAAACCCCGAATAACCTAAAGATTATTTGCTGGTATACTTGCTGGTAATAGAAATAAAGACAATAAGACTTCATACATATTAGGGAATATTTGACTCAGTGAATAATGAGATAACACAAAATCAACTCAACTGAATGCATTATGTAAATTACACATGCCAAATATTATGATGGGTACCTGCACCAATAAAAATCTCATTGAGTCCTCACAATTCCGTTTTTGTATGGCTGCATACTGGGGGTCAGCAAAATCAGGGAATAAGACCAAACTGGCCAGATCTGAGATACCTCTCTGGGACTTTCATATTCTCTCCCCCTGTCATGTGCATTTATATAAAGTCTAACTTGACGTTCTAAACTACTGAGATGTATTCAAATGAAGCTCCAGACATTTTTCTTTTTTGGCTTTGGAGAAATATATCAGTATTTTTCTTATCCTTACTAATTCAATCTTCAAATGCTCCATCTTTGGGGGCACATTTTTGGTGTTACAGCTCTATTGTGTGACACATGAACAAAACACAAATGTAAAGATTTACATTAAAAAAATAAATCAAAAATGAAAATTAGTATTCCCTTTAAGAAGACATATATACATGGATGCGTTCAAAAAAGTTGGTATTTTTGTGCATCTAGATGTCTGCTTTAAAATCGAGGGCTATTTTATGAAGGGTTGTTAGCATAGAGAATTTTAATTCTACAGTATTAACTTGGCAAGATTTATTGCAAATAACTGATTTGCCAAAAAGAATATTGTCATCATCTTCGCTGCCATTGTTTTCCATATTATTATCATTCTCTGTTCTCCAGAGATTCATGTGTTTGCCCACAGCACACAGATTTAATCCTGATCAATTTCCCTCCTCTCTCTCCCCTTCCCCACCCAATAAATCATCTGTAACCAAGGTGGAAGGCATCCGCTCAGAGGCCTAGCCTGGCATGTTTTATTTACCATACCCATGAGCTTAACTATCACAAAACAGCATTCTAACCTGAACGTCATAGACAGTGAAGGGAGACAGGTCCCGGAGAAGGAAAGACCCGGGCTCATTCATGCCGGTCTTGTAGAGCTTATTATTGACATACACAGAATAGTCGGTGACAACGCTGTCTGGGTGGGAAGGAGACATCCAGGTGACGCGCGCAGCTGTACTGTTGACGACGACAACCTCTGGAGGAAGCATGCCCTGAGGCTCTAGGATGCAAGGAGGGAACAGAATAAACTCCAGCTGTCTCTGAAAAAGCACTTATTAAACGAAATGCAGATTAGTATTTGGGTGCCACGAAGTGTTCGTTGCTTATCGGCTTTCCTCTGATGAAGCTACCACGGGCTGTAGTCCTCTGGAAATTGGCTTATCACACTCTCAGTGAGAAACCATAAGAATTGCTGGTGAAAATTTTTTTACCACCAGCACAATGATAATCTTTAGTACTATGTGAGCAGTGGGATACGATGATGAATTATTCACCCATCTGCACCACTAACGCGTATCTATTATTTGTCTCTTCTCCCATCCCCTCACCCTGTATCTCACGGCGGGGGGAGGGGAGGGAAAGAAAATTCACTCCTTAAGCAAAAAAATAAAACTCAAATGCATTGAGGCTGGTGGAACGTGAAAAATCATTTGATGTTACTAGCTTGTAACTCAAGCAATATGAAGCAATAATGCAATATTGTCATTATGTAAATGATTTTGAATGTTGATTACCATAGGTAATGATGAAATCTAACATTAGAAAAAAATCTTGCTTGGCGTTAAATTACACAATTATTCAAGCATGTCAGAAATAACTATGCAAAGACCTATTTTTATCTTAAGAACCCATCTTTACTAGTTGAAGAATTGTCCTTGTGATCCATTCTATTTTATAAACAAAAGGTGCTGACCTTTGGCACCGCAAAGGGAAATGGGTTCCACACTTAAAGTGCCCCGCTAATGACCTGGAACACTTGCTTGGGAGGTAATGATATTATAATGTTTATAATGAGACTTTATAAAGCCAAAAAGATTAGAAAGACCATTCCAAACTCATTTCAGATTCACAAGTTGCTTCTCTTGCTTCCTCCCCCTTGCTAACTGGCTTAGAAATGAGTCACAGGCAATTTTTCTCCATGGCTGAACTTCCACCTACCATTTCTGGTGACTCAGGGAGGGCCCTCGCTGGGCTTGGCTGTCGTTTTGAAAAGCATCCTGCTTCTGAGAGCAGATGTTAAAAAAAAAAAAAAAGTCTCTAAATGTCACCATTTATTGATGTGAACTCGGCTCCAAACTAAGCGTCCACTGAACAGAGCAGGAACAAACTGGGCCAATATCCCATTATTAGAGCCTCGCGCTGCTGTCTCAATGGGACCACTTATTGATCTGCCACTTGATGACAGCAAGCACTTAAGCATTTTAGCCCCGACCCCCTTCCCTCCAACACCGGAAATTTTATAATGGAGGGATGACTGATCTCAACCTCAGCAGGAATCAATCAATTTCATTCGCGTCCCTGTGGCCGAGTATCCCGTGAAATCGGGACTCACCCCCATCGCGAGTAGTTGCATACAGCACATCACTGTTGATACCGTGGGCTCCATTGAAGACAGAGATGACAATCCGATACTCCGTGTTTGGGTTTAAGAGACCAATGATGTGAGAGTTCACATCTGGGAGGAGTTTTAGAGATTCATTTGAGGTAGCAGAACTCCAAAAAAGCGTATAATATTCCACATCACCTTGTAGGTCTTGCGGAGCTGTTAACAACGAACACAGAACACCGTGAATGTGGCTGACCTAAAAGGGTCTCAGGAGGAGACTGCCTGAACTCCACCACTTGCTGCTCCTAGAGTGTGACAAAGGAAAGCTCACGGGGCCTTTTCATGGGTTTGATTTTTTTTTTTAACGAAGTTGATTTTTCTTCTGTAACCCCATTATTTATTGTATAGAGGCTTAGCTTTAGAGGAAAATGAACTCATACTTTTCCTTTCAGTATTTTTAACTATACTAGTTATAAGGATGCAATTGGTCTTCAAAATTATGATATATTATTGAAAGTAAAAATACGCAATACACAGAACAGCTTTGGTTTGCAAGTAACAGTCCTAGAGAGACGTCTATGTTAACACAAAAAAGGATCCTATATTAGGATCTCTGACACAGATCCTAACACTGGAGAGAGTTTTTAGCTTGCTAACGAAATCTGCTAAGCATGTTTCTAGGACCATCCAGCAGGTTTTGTTGTGTATACTGCCGCTGTAGCCATGGTACAGCATGCTCTCCATAGAGATTCCCTCAGGAGAACCCTAGGACAGTACCCGCATTTTTACCGAAGCTCTCATCCTTTTCTCCTCGTTTGCCATTTCCCTGTGATGTAGGCCAGCTCTTCCAGAAAGCCAAACTCACGCACTCACTGCCTCAAAGCCATAACTCATCAATTCCTCAACCCGCAGCCTTTCAAAGGCCAGCCCGTTATTTTTCCTTTTCCTCTTCCACCCAGTTTCCCCAGTTTTGCCCTGAGCTCTGCTTCTCATTATCTTTCCATAGTAAATCTTTAAAGAGAAAACACAGAACAGCCATAGTTTCTTAAGTAGGATGTCGTACATGGCTCTGCTTCCATTAATAGTATTTTTAATGACCTTTAGCAGTAACTCCTACCTTGGTTTGTGTTAGGGTTGGGAGGTGCAGTGTTGGTTTACAAGCCTCCTGAAATTGTACGTGTCAAAACAGTTTAACAGCACTAATCAAACGCTGGGAGGAAAAGGCAGCTTTTCTCTTTACGGTTATTGAGGTGTAGTTCCTCTACTGTGTGAGCTCCTATGGCCATATCAAAGCACATGGCTTTGGGAACTGCATGCTTTTTTTTTTTTTTAAAGAACCCCCTTTCATGAAAGGACCTCTAAGCATACTACTGCTTTGACCTTGTCTCTAGCAATAGTTAAAGATTTTCTATGCCAGTATAGCTGAGTTTATAGTAAGAGATCTTTAGCAACTTATTTGGAAAACCGTGATCAAGATTGTTTTTTTCTCTGATGTCGCATCATGCAAGAACCTCAAATAATGAGGTCTTCATTGTACATGAGCAGGAATGAGCTATTCACGTCCATTAATGTTTTCCCAAATGATAACATAAGTCAGGTAGAGCGAAGCCACCGGTGTTACGAGAGGGAAAGCTCTGTCATTAGAAGCTTTTCTGCTGGCTTACAGCAGTAGCACTCACTTTGTGGCAGCTGAGATATAATGGAAAGTCTGCTAGATTTGAAGTTCATGTTGTATCTTCACTTAAGTGAGTGGTCTGGTTAGAAGTTCAAGCCCTAACAATATAATATTAATGAATTGCTTTCAAATTCTCTTCACAAGTATAAATGGATTTTACCTAGGTTATTAAATGTATCTGATGTCTCCTTTGTCAAGTTCCAATGAATGTACCTACATATGTACAGGGTGTGGCAAAAGCAGGTTTACAGTTGTGAGTATGTGAAACAGTTTATTCTTGTATTATGATTTATTAAATATTGTATTATTGTCCATTCGAACTGTAAACCTACTTTTGCCGCACCATGGATATTGAAAGTATCGTTCAATATCAACACTGTAAATTCAAGATAAGCAAATATCGGGATGAAATTCCACTAACTGCCCATTCTTAGCCACAGACCTGGTCATGCATTTTGGGTGGTAATCTCCATATACTGGTCAGAAATGTGGTCTTAACTGTAGCAAATTCTCACTTATCGAACAGGTCCCTCTCTTTTGTAATGGATTCCCAAATAATTCAAAACACTTGTGAGATAAGCTAGCTGAAAGCTTTGTTGTGAAAGCAACTAGATTTTTCTCCTTGCACACTGTCAGATTATTTTTAGAGATCAGCATCAATATTAATTATATCCTCTAGATCTTTTCCATCTAGACCAGGGGTCAGCGAAACAGAGTCCAAAAACAGAACCTGGCCTGCAGGCCACATCTGGCCTGCCGCCTGCTTTTGTGGAACCTGTGAGCTAAGAATGTTTATTTCATTTTTAAATGGGCAGGAAAAAAAACTGAAGAAGAAAAGCCATTGGTGATACATAAATATGTTATGAAAATCAAACCTCAGGGCCCATAATAAATTTTTATTGGAACACAGCCAATCTTAGTGTCCTGTACCCTCAACTTTGCATTATAGCGACAAAGTTGAGTCGCCGCCACAGAGACTGCACAACCTGCAACACCTGAAATCTTGACTCCCTGGTCCTTCACAGAGCGTTTGTGGCCCTCGCCTAAAGCAATCACAGCAAACCATTCCCATTCCACAGGTCCCCTCATCGATCTGTCTAGGGTTGAAGTCTCACAGGCTCCCTGGGACGGAATTTTATTTAAATGTAAAAATCCAGAGGGGTCCTATTCAGGTAATTTTAAGGTAAAAAGGTCTACCTTGCTCAAATTAGGTCCTCAAATTAGAGTGCAGTTTTCCAAGTTCCATCGTGTACAGCTCTGTGTCGTCAACAAAGCAGTTCTTGGAAAAACTGTGCATGTCAAAACTACTTGTAAAATTATGTCCTATTTTTTAAAATTAGAAATGGCTTCTTGATTTGTTCATCTTTTGTAAAACTGCTGTTCAAAGCACTGTGAACATTTTAGAGCTAGAATACTTTACACCAGTACTAAATTATTACTAAGTGCTGAACATCTATCATTTCATCGAAACCTCTTCACAATGTTTTAAGGCAGCTATTATTTTTATCCCCATATTTTGGCTTAGGATACTAGGGTTCAGTGAGGTTGAGTGGAGTGTTTTAGGTCACAGGGCTAGAAAATACTGGCGCTGGGGTTCAAGCCTAAGTTTTCCTGACCCCGAAGCCTACTATTTACATCATTCCTTCACATGGCTTCATCGAGTTTCACCACTTTTCCAGTCAGGAGAATCTGAAATGGTGAGAATGGACAGGGTCACCGACGGAGAGTCGGACCGTGACGGAACACTGCAGAAAGAACTTTGAGGGACGTCTTTATTTCGGGGATGAGGAGAAGCGGTCCCCGAGACAGGAGGGGTCGTCTATAGCGCCCTCCGCCACAGAGACACCAAAGAGGATGGCCCAGAGGACAGAGCCTTGGGTTGGGCCATCAGGCGATGACAACGTCACAAGGAGCAGGTTGGTGGAGCAAAAGGGAAGGAGGTGTGGTTCTGGCAGGTACGCAAGCGACCAGGAGGGAAGCCAGTGGGAAAGGCCAAGGTAGTCTGTATGCTTTGATCGGCAAGTGACAGGAAGGAGAACAGAGGACAAGGTGGGACAACCACGCAGGGTTGCTTTCCAGAGGTAATCATTCCAGATTCGCAATTATTTGTGTGTACCGTCCCATGAACAAGAGCAATGCAGATGGACTCAGACCTTTTTCTGGTTACAAAACCTAGTGGTTTCTGACTGAGAAATCAAGGTGAGGCTAAGGCTTTTCTTATGTGACTGTAAACTTCCTCTTCTAGGGTGACACCTTCATACTTTGTGACACTCCAGAAAGTTCGCCAAGATATTATAACGCAAGAGTTATGTCATTAATCTTGGTGTTTGCAGTGGCCAGCACAAAAAGGTCCTACATAAGTGTTTGTGGACGGAATAAGGAAAGACGGGGAGGAAGGCAGAAGAGAAAGAGACAAGGAGATGGGGCAGAGGAGGGAGACACGCAGGCCAGGAAGGCTAGTGACTGGGGCCGTGAACAGCTCCGGGGTGAGCTCCTGACACGCGGGCCGCGTCGGGCGGCTCTCTGCGGCTTCTTTCTCAGTAGTACTTTCCCCTCACTATCTCCGACGTTTTCTTGCTCTTTTCTGGTGGTCACTGACCTTGGTAGGGAGGCAGCCCCGGGAGGGGACAGCGACACCCTCACGGGCATTTGCTTATTTCGCTGCTTATTTTAGAATGAGCAGTCGAAACGGGAAGGATCTTATTAAGTGACTCTTGACAAAGCGCTCATCGCTGCGAAGGCTAAATGCACCGGATGCCTGAGCCCTCCGCCTGGGTTCGGGGAGAGCGGCTCGCTGCGATTTGGGGTACGCTGCCGCGCGCTCGTTCTCGCTCGGGGGCTTTTCCAAGAACTGCATGGCTAACTCAAGTGCCGGGGCTTTTGTACCTCTTCTTACAGTAACGTGATCCTTTTCACTCCTAAAATTTCTCCTCGTGGTTTTTAACTTAGGCTGACCTGTTTTCCTTTATTAGATAAAACAGGAATAAGAGCCTCGTCTCTCTCCAGGGACCAGGAAGACGGGACATATGGGGGCCTGTCTGAAGGGGCGGCCACCCTACAGTGCCAGCTGATGTTGTCCCTGCAGTAACGTGGGAGCGGTTTTACTGATGATTTAAACTTCTGCATCAACGCAAAAAAAAAAAAAATATATCATCGTCTTTACGTGAAATCTCCAGAGTTTTAAAACATGGGCAAAATATCATTTTGTCAAATACGGCAGAAGGAGCAGTGGATGGAGAACAGGGGAAATCAAGGTAACCTACGTGTTGACCGTTCGCACTGTTTGTCCTAAAATAAGCTGAAGAAATTCAGGGGTGCTTTTACTTCACGTGACATCACAGAGTGAGGCAGCAGTTTCAAAGAGGAACTTCTAAAATGTTCAGTAACTTATTCCTGTTAACCTGCGATTGGTAAAAATCAGACAGAAATATTTCACTACCAAAATGGTGTGTGCTGGGAAGGGTGACAGTTAAGAAATAGGCTTTAACAATTGCATTACATGGTATTTTTGAAAGGCAATTTTTAGTGAGTAAACATTTATAAATTTGTTCAGAGGACTTTAATCTACAGGTTTGTGCCTTTTGGCATGTTAGACAATGTGCACATTGTATCCTGCAAATCAAGAAAACAATTATTAAAATCGCAAGAACCAGGTGGCCCTTTCACAGAGGGGTGACTAGTTAATTTACTCAGGATGGCAGACTGCAAGAAGGAAGAAAATGATGATGCAACAAGCTTTTGCACCGCTGACCTGCTTCTAAGACTTAACCTTTGTGCTCACAAATAGTTATCTGAAAAATTTCCAAGGTATGAATGGAAATAACAGCAGATCGCATTACCTACATCCCGAAGGTCGGAGGTTCAGATTTCCACGGTAATGAAACTTCAGTGAGCTGCTTCAGATCTATTAGGTTTGTCAGTTTTTATAAGCACACTTTCTTCAGGCATGCAATTATACCATAAAGGACGTACACTGGTGAAAATTCAGCAGCAAGATTTGAACAGAAGCATTCAAATGTCAGCTGCGGGGGAGGGCGTCCGCCTTTATGAAGAGGCTTTTAAGATGTATCGGGAGGTGAGCGCAAAGTAGAGAGGAAGAGGGAGATGAGTGAAAATACATTATGCTGTACATAAAATCCAGCTCCAGATAAAAACTTCGGTTTTTCCAGGTGTCTCAGGGGATAATCATAAGCATCAATTAAGCGGAATTCTTCCATTTAAATGGTGTAAGAGTCCCAATAGAAGTGACACCAATCATTTAGAAACCTGCAGCCTTATAAAAACCCTAGGCCTAGAGTGATCACCTTTTGTAAAAATGAGTTACTCAGAGGCAACGTTGATCAACATAACTGGTACTAATTTTAATTTACAATTAATGTCACCTAGTACTGGTTTTAATTCTCAGTAGATATAACGTAACATTGGGGCAAATTCACTCAGATGTTCTAAAATGAAATAGGAAGCGTTTCTCTTCTTAGGCTGTAAAGGAACTCAAGACTGGATCAGACTCCCAACGAGGAGTAGTTTTACATCTTTTTTATATAGTAGTAGCTGATTACCTGAGTATGTCCAGTTTTCTTGTATTAAGTATACATTTTAATTGAGGCTTTCCAAGTCAGATATATCTCAATATCTGGTAATATCCTAACAAATTTTGATCCCATTATTTGCCCGACCCAAAGTCATACTTTTAAGAATGGTTGCAATACATGTGCTGTGATAGATAAAGGGCTATTTTTTTCTGATGGTGATAACAGATCGCTATGAATTAAATGGTCAGCTGTTAAATGCTACTCTACTGACCAAGTGGATCTGAAACTCCAGTTACTGTAGTTTCCAAAGTGACAGGGAAAGAGCCGATCCATCTGCAAAGTCTCCCAATGCCTGAGAAGAGGCGTTCGGAACGGGGCGAAGGTGCACCCCGCATGACAGAATGGCACCCAGTTGGTGCGCAGCCTTCATTCCTTCCTGTCTCCAGCGGGGAGCGTATCCGGCCAGGGCCAACGATGACCCACGTTACTGCAGGCCTAGCAAAACGGTGCTTGCTAATGCGGGAAGGGCGACGAGACAGGGCTGAGTTCTCCGCAGGAAAGAGTACAAATTAGTACCTACGGGCATTTCCATCACAACTGGCTGGGATGAGAGACACGGCATTCCCCGCCCAAAAGGGACAGAGGAAGGGAGCAAAGGCCCGAGAAGGATGGAGAAAGGAGAGAGACAATTGGCTTCTGAAAAACAGAACAAGGACCTCAGCTTTTTGTTGTTTTGGTTTTTTAACATGTTCATTTTAAATTCATTTTGGTACTAATACGGTAAGGGTAAATAAAGACATGCAAAGCTTCCTTACTTGGTTTATCCCATCTCACATCAATGGCCGTGTGGTTAAGGACAATTGCAGAGACGTTGGTGCCTCTCTGTGGGGTACCCGCTAACGTCGTCACCATCACTTCGTGGCTTGGTGTGAAACCCACGCTGTTGTGGACAAAGACCTTGTATGTGTAGGTTGTGAACCTAAAAGGTTTTTTTCAAAAGACATATAATAATTTCTCTTTTACAGGAAACACAGTACACAATTTCCTTGTTCTTTACAATACAAGATCCTCCCCCACGACAAAATACACAATTTTCTTTTTCCCCTTACAAATTATATTATCTTCCTTTTCTACACACAAAAATACATATCGTTATAAACTCTCAAGCCTTTACCAAGTGTCAGAAAAATATTTTCTTAGGAAGACTAAGCAAAGACTGCTATTGAAAACCAGCACGGTTTATCGTCTTCTCGTTCTTACTGTTTTGAGAAGTAGTGAGGATTGCGGCTACATTCAAGATGCAATTACAAACCTGGCGGCCTGCCAGCTTTCTATCTGAATTTGATCCAGGGAGCTGCATGCTCTTCTTTTGGGAAACTCATCCATTTTCGAGTATCAGAATCTCTCATCGCCATTTTCCTCCTGCACCTACGCTTCCTTCCCCAAGTCTCATTGGCAGACAGATAAACCCTTAAATTAAATCGTCACTGTGACCAAAGTCAACAACATTGCCCCACTGAGGGTGTTGCTACAGCAAGCTGCATTTTGCCTTCCCATGAAGATATTTACTTGAGTTAATACAGTGCAAACTGAATCCTGTTTTGCAGGAGGAGGAAACCTGACATCATGGTGAGGACTTCCCAGGTCCTACGTTAAAATTGATGATAGAGTAAAACCACCAATTCCTGAACCCCTTCAGCATTTTCAGGCAGTGCACCAGCAGGCTTTCTTTGTTTGCTTCAAAACTGCCTGGGCAGGAAAATGCTATTTAAAGAAACATTCAGGCTTTGACAGGACAGTAACTTAGACAAGAAACTTGCTTAAGCACACTGTACAACCCGTGGCCACGCCTGGGTGGCATTCGGTACTCAGAGCAACGCTGGCCTCTGATCATGGTCACCTAATTTGGGTTTAATAGATCATCAAAGGTACCTCACATCCTATTCAGGGCCCATGGAATTTGTCTTAATAAGTCACAACTTATTAATCATGACAAGGGGTGGGTGCCATTTGCAGGACTGCGCTGAGTAATTTAATGAAAGTTATGTCAGGATTCTCATAGCGCTTGGCTGCCACCTAGAAGAAGTCTGTTTGCCTTACCTTGATTCTCACTCATGGCCCAAGGACACCGTGCAAGGCTCTGTCTCAGCCACATCTGAGGGTGCTCCTCTGGTACTGCAGCTACAGGCGCGGATTTAGCGATGGCTTTGAAGCCTGTATCTGTTTCCCCCAAATAAGCCCTGGCATCGGACCTATACCTCTCCACTTCCTCTCTCTTTGTGCCTTTCTTTTTTTTTCTTTTTTTTTTTTTCTGCTCTGTATGATGTAGTGGGTTGAACTGTACCCTGCCTTCATAGAAAGATAGGTTTAAGTTCTAACCCCTGCTAAGTACCTGCTGATGTGACCTTGTTTGGAAATAAGGCCTTTGCAGATGTAATCAAGTTAAAATGAAGTCATATTGGATTTGGGAAAGCCTTAAATGCAACGGACTGATGTCCTTATAATAGAAAGGAGACAGAAATTTTGATACAAAGAGAAACAAACAGGGAAAAGATGGTTACGTGAAGAGAGGGGCAGAAATTAGTTATTCTGCCAGAAGCCAAGAAACAATGGGGTGACCAGCAGTTGGAAGAGGCCGGAAAAATTTCTCTTCAGAGCCTAATAGGAGGGACGTGGCCCAGACAATACCTCAACTTTAGACTTTTATCCTCCAGGACTGTGGGAAACTGTTTGAAGTCACCCAGGTGGTTTACAGCACCCCTGGGAAACTACTCCACGTTCTTTTTAGCAAGTGCTGAACAGCCTGCATGACCAGACAACTGAGGGACAGCAGTGACAGCATTTACTCAGAACTTAATACGCGCCAGGAAGCTTCTACACGCACCTACTCATCAGGTCCTCGCAGTTACCCGATAAGGTGCTATGATAATACCTATTTGGAAAATGAGGAAAATAAGGCCCAAAGAGTTAAATACTTTGTCTAGGGAGAGGGCAGATGCATACCCAGATGGTCTGATTCCAGAGCATGCTCACTTAATCATGACGCTGCACGGCCACCGTAATAACGATGCTGTTGATCAAAGCAGCAGGACAACCACAAGGAAAAGCTGATCTCTTCATACTGGGATGACGTCATAGCCCTGGGGCTTGAACTTGAATTGCTTTCCTAGCTGAGGGGACAGATTTTTGCTTACACGTCCAAACAGCCTCGCCGAATTTCCTTTGTAACCACTGGTATGAATTTGAAGGATGGTGAGTCAGGGTGAAGAGGGTAGCAACTCGGCGACAATCGAATGAAACGAAGCTAATGGCTCACACGGGAATTGCACCAGCGACCCTGGCTTCATTAGCTCGCTCCCTGAGTAAAATACTTTTAATTGTGTTTTACTCTATAACATAGCTGAAAAGAAATTTAGCTAGAGTCTGGGTGCCTAATCTCCTACAAAGTTTGAATTTTTCTTCCACATGTCTGATATTAAATATTAAACAATCTTTATGGTTTTGAAGTGATGTCATTTTTATGACTCTTTTCTGTAAGTGGAATTAACAACATCAGATGGCACTAAAGTGGGGAATTGTAAATAAATTCTACAAGTCCTCAGTTCTTCCCCTGATTCATCATTTCACTGGAATTTAGCAACGGTGAAATGTGCAATTCATGTCTTTGTAGGAGAAATGTAGGACACGTAGACACATGTTATTGAAATGTCTGTTTTCATAGTAGTATTAAAATTTAAGAGAGATGGCTTTAGAGTTTATCTGCTTCGAATAGTAAAATACCTGCCACATTTTACAGATAAGAAAACTAAGGCCCTGAGAAGTGACGTGGCTTTTGCCTAAGGACACACACTAGTTAAGATGACTAAGTGGACCTCTAATTTCCTCATTTCTAATATTAAATTCTTTCCACTATTCATGATTTTATTTAATTGAGAAATCATAGGCACTTTACCTGATGGCACGCATTTGTCTTTTGCATTTTCTTTAATTTTCTTGGTTAACATTTTAACAAAATAAGATACTGAGTTCTCTTAAATAAAATACTTTAATACAATGTTCTCATTGTATTTGAAACCTAATCTTCATGTAAGTATGTATACCTGTGACTATACATGTTGGTCTATATTTCACCACTTCATGCTAAAAAAAGAACACATTAGTGTGCTTACGGTGCTTTATAAACTCTCTCTAGGCATACTGTATTTTTTTAGATAGACTTAGATGTTGATTATTTATAACAAATGTGACACTGCATTCAGTTAATAAAAATATTTTTAAAAGAAAATGGCTAGATTGACTTCAAAGACTCATGCAAAATTTATGTATATCAATTTCTTTTGAGATACTAATTGCGTTCCCTAGGTTTGTCTTGGAAAATGTACCATTTCAAACCCAGTTTTTGAAATCTGAAAAGTGAATTAACACATATTGAGTCTGCATTGTAACTCATAAAACCAACCGTCGAAAATCAGTTTAGGAATACCGGGCTGTTGCAATAGTTCCTGTAGAAATAACTAACACGTTTGACACCATCCTCACAACCCTTCCTTTACCAATACCCAGGAAATGGTAAGCTTGGTTGCATTATAAACATGACTATGGTACTTTTCCTTGTAGAAGATAATATATATTAAAATCTTATTGATGGAAGAATACTCATTTCAAGGTTCAGTTGTTATTACTCAAGGGAATTAGAAAACTAGGTTTTGTTTAAATGATGAAGTTTTTAATCTGTTTACTGGCTGAGGAGGTAATTTCATAATGAATGAATGAACAAATGGATATTTCATAGTTACTAAAGCGGCCAGTCTCATAACTTTCAGTTCACATATGATTTGATAAATTAGCGACACAAACATACTTGGCCATAAGAGAAATGATTCCTACCAGAACTTAGGAAGTTCTTTATGTTACAAATTATACTGTTCTCTCCTGTTCGTCATTTCTTCCATTCATTCATTTTTCCATTCATGTAACAATTTTGTATCGATTAACAACATTCTCCACGCTTAACACTGCCACATGGGCTGCGTAGACGGCAGGGGGAATGCTGTCCTGGGAAGACACCGGTCCAGGGCGTGCCTGTTCCAGGGCCAAACGCGCGAAGGCTTATACTTCGGAACCAATAACACTCTCCCCTGCAGCACAGACTGCCTTTGGCTATTTTCATCAGAATTAAAAATGTGTCAGCTTTATTGATGTCCTAACAGAATTCTTGTGTCAATATTGTCACCGGTATAAATCATGTTTCGGGAAATGCAGGCTATTCAGTTTGCTTCCCGATGTCAGCACCACCCACGTGCGCACGGGCACAACGTCCCGCACACAAGACGCGAATGCCTGTGGGGCGCCTCACAGCCGCCCGCCCTTCGTGGGGACGGATGGAGACGCGATCAAGTAAACGTGCAGCTCTCTTCCCGCTGCTTAAATCTGCCATCACCCGCATTTTCCATGGACGGCCTCTACCTTTTCTTTACACAACTAGAAATGCCACTGAAGATTTCTGCCTTTGACATTGAAGGGTAACACTCGTCACCCTCGAAAGTTTTTACCATACGACGGCTTTTTAGATTGTGGCTATCAGATGCAAGTGTCACATTAGTGTGGCTCTCTATACTTAGACTACTAGAATGTCACACCGAAAATAATTTGGCTATCATTGCCATCTTTGTTCTACTATGACATGAACGTTAGAAAGTAAATCACACGGAGAAGCTAGATTTTTTTCTTGTAGAAAACAGGGAAAAGAATCTCCTATGACAAAAACACATCCGTGCCCAGTTAGAGGCTCATTTTTCACGCGGTACAGTTTCGCATGATGACACTTAGGAAGGAAAAGAGAGCACGGTGTCGACTGAGAGCCATGAAATGAAAACATCCCGTGGAGAAGAGCACCGAGACGCCACTAATTTACTTTGAATGTGAAGTAGATGCTCTTTTGCTCATTCTGAATTGAGCGCATTGCTCAGGGATGGCGCACCAGTGTTGACAGAGGCTGGCTTCCATTCCTAAGCCCAGCTTTTACTCACATTTTGATACTAGAGACCCACAGGATTCACCTCCTGTTGCTGGTCAGGGGAGGAAGGCCTTCCTTCCTCTCACCCTCCGTATGCACAAAGGCAAACACTTTACCTCAGAGAAGCAACTGCAACGCACGCAGGCTACAGGACATGTGTCAGGGAGCTGACCCGGTGTGTCCAGGGAAGCCCAGCAGGAAATGTCATCTGGGCACATTTAATCTTGGTTATTACAAAGGAGGGAAACCAAAGGTATATTCTTTTGAGTATTATTCTCCCCGAAATGGTATCCTCTTTTAGGGCTGGAAACATTTCACTTTAGTAGCTTTAAAGAAAGTAGAATTGTTAGTAAGATTTAAACTTAGATTCTATGGTCTATTTAGTTTAAGTATTTAATTTTAAAGCAATCAACACCCAAAGTTATGGTTTCCCTAACAACTATACCTTGGCCACTTTGCACAGAATTGTTCAGGCAGGAAAGTTAGAAACTGATGAGCGGTATACACCTACAGTGATACTGAGTTTGTGTTTACGCACACACAGCAAAATTCAATAAGGAGGCGACTGGCTGGGTAAGTCAGGCAAAATCGCCCCTCACCTAAGATAACGTGAACAAAAGTATTTTTTTTTAAATTATCTGAATATTTAGTTCACTATTCTACTTTGTACACAGAGATAAAAAGGAACAAAAAGAATGGCTAGAATGCTTTGAATTTCAGAGTACGGTAATGTTTTTAGATCAAATGGGTATGATTCTATATATCACAAACATATAGCTAACAAAAACCGACCGCTCCACCATGGATACTGACTTCAGTTTATATGTATTCTCACAAGTACATTCATAAAGGGATGTCCAGGAATCTTAAGTGAATATTACTTTTTATGGCAAGAGAAGTGCCATTTGGAAAACTGATTCTAGAGGCAGCTACGGTACTGCTGGGTCAAGACGGGAAGAAACACTGCCAAGCTCCCTTCCCACCTAAGCACGTCAGGGAGAAATCCGGGACTGGCGGCGTCTGCGGAGAACAGGAGGTACACATTCCTCCTAAAGGCCCCGGAATCCCATCACTCATCCTCGCCTGCACTGCTAAACGACAGCCAACGAAACCAGCAAGGCAGCGAGACAAACGCAAGGCCAAGGGCAGGGTTCTTAAGGAGCTGCAGCGCAGGCGCGAGGAGAAGGGACCTGAGCCACTGGGGAGACTGCCCCCTGCCAGCGGGGGAGCCCCGGCCGCGGCGGGTGCTCCCGGTGGGGAGTGGGTCATTTCTTAACAGAAAAGCGGGTGCAGCACGTAGCGCCCCCGCCCCCCGCCCCCTAGACAAATTAATGTCCAGGTTCCCCTCAGAACTGTCAGAGAACCCCTCGGGCTGAAGGGGCCCCTAGCTCCTTTGGACGTACAACGGGTACAGGGCTGGAAAAAGCCTTCTCACAATATGAAGACTCACACCATTTATTTTGAATATTAAGAAGAAATGCATACTGTTTTTTGCGTGACTGTTTGTTTTCTGTTTAACATCACAAGTTGGTTATAGGGGTTATAGTAGTTATTTGAAAAATTTGCTAGTCCTAGCAGGGAAGAAAAAAAATCCCTCGGCATTCTGCATTACGAGGTTCGTCAAAATGTTACCTCAGCACATTCTGTTGTATGCACACTTCCTTTCTAGAAGCAGCTGCCATCCGTATGTTGGTGGCAACTTGTGTTTCAATTTAATTTGTGGAGATTTAACTTTATTTCTTTCCTTCCATCTTAGATTTGGGCTTTTCATTAAAAATCCTTAGAGGCATCACTCAAAAATTCCATAGTAAATTTTTGGCCTTGGTCCTAATCTTTAATAAGTTTTCACTTTTATGAGGGAACAGCATTAGCTTTCTGAGAGTTACTCTGTTTTTTCTGCCAGGCATCTGAGGGCTGCAGATCAGGTTCAGTAACGTGAACTAGTGAAGACCTGTTTATTTTGGAGACTGCGATACTGAAAGCACTTAGAGTTCACAGGTCATAGGAAGCTACTTCTCCACGTGAGTTTCTCAGGCAGTGGCGGTGGCTGCTGGTGGCGGCAGCGACACGGACGTGCGTGCATGTGTGTGCGTGCGTGGTGCCCTCCTCCGGACGGTGAGCTCTCTGAGGAGAGGGCTATGCTCCGTCCACTGGCCACTCCTCGTCACAGTGCCTCCAGGCACACAGCGGGCAAAAATAAAAATGGTTGAATAAGTGAGTTTCTTCCACCGAAGTGATCATTATAAGTGATGCCAGATTAAGTAACTAGGGAACTGAAAATAGTGGAGAACAGTCTAACGACCATAATTTAGGCTGAACAAAAAGGAATGCTAATTGGCCATTACTGACTTACAAAAATGGCAGTTTCACATGGTTCACCCCGCTGCTTCATTAGACTTACGGGCTGCCTCCCTCCAAGAACCTTACAACATCCGTCACGTTCTCCCACCGCAAGCCTTTTACGACGAACAGGGAACTGGAGCTTTACCCCCGCCCCGAAGACAGCAGCACTGCCATTAATACTCCTAAGGCACAGACGGAGTCAACAGCCCTCGCTTCACTGAGTTAGGCTAGCCTTCCATCTCCACAACCGCGCGAGGGCGGGCCCACACGCGCCAGGCACTGCCCAAGGCTCCGCGGATCCAGAAGTCACGACGCCAGAGCCCTGGCTCCTGGTGCGCCTGACAGTACAACGGGGTGTCCAGACAAGCGGCCGGGCCAGGGCATTGCAATGATGACCGTAACGTGGGGGGCGGGGGGGCGGGCAACGGTCATACATGAAAGGGGCTGGTTCACACCAGGGAGAAGGAGAGCGGGGAAGCCCAGTAGGGGATTCCAGTCTGAGCCTGAAGGCCGGCCCATGAGAAGGCGGACAGGGCGGCAGCAGGCACAGAGGGGTGAGCGAGGCTCGCACCTCGGAGGCACAGGAAGGAATGCTGATGTGGCTCGAGACAGGGGCTGAGGCGGGGGCAGGGAAGCAGTGGGAGACAAAGCCAGAGCTGTGCCCGGTATTCAGGGTGGAGCTGGTCAGTGCTGAGTCCACAGGCATAACCTGACAGAAAAGCTGTCTGAAAAGTTCTCATAAAATAGTACTGGTGGTGTCCAGAAATTTGATTACGTAGCTTGGACTCAGGAATGAGTAGGAGTCACTGAGTCCCATCCAACCTCCTCAGGGAAATTAAGACTTTTTCTAAGGTCACAAAGCCAGTTCTCTAGCAGAGGATGAAACAGCACCCGCATCTCCTAGCTCGCCCATGCAACACTCTTCTGGCACCGCCTGGTTGCCTCTCCCTCAATTTCTTTGAACTCTAGACTGAATTCTTTCCAATGGCAAGCAAGCTTATTAACTATATGATTTTTGTAGACTGTAGCAATGACTTACAACAATTATTCTCCATAAATAGCCAGCATTTTACAAGCATCCAGTATTTCCCCCGTTTTATGTGTGTTCAAGATTTCCAAATCCTCTAGCAAGACCTCACGTCTTTCTAGAACTGTCACAGAGGCAGTAAGTTAAGTCTCAAACATCTACAAGTTTGAGTTCAAAGGCTTATTTTAAGATGGTAAACATTAAACACGCTGTTTCAGCTCGATGATTAACGCCACAGATAATAACCAAACCCGCTTTCTTGCATAACTGATAACATGCTCACACAATGAAGACACTATGTTACTTTGAACTATTCGACATGCCCCGAACTAAATGCCAGCATTTGTTTTTTTATAGTTTTTGTAATCTCACCTGCTAAGACCCTTATCTTCATAAAACCACTGAGTTCCTGAATAAATATTGTGCCACAGATTTAAATCTTCTGGGGGATTTGATGCAAGTGGCTGCTGGATTTTACGTCTCAGAAGCTCATATCTAAAGCAAAAGATGAGCAGAAACATTGGGATTATCTCAACTAATGTTATTACCAAAATTCAGGTTATTTTGTGGGATGAGTATGTGATGTGTAAATAGAAAGAAAACATCTTAATTTACAATTACATTGTTTTTTTACCAGATTATTATTTTACCCTGGCTCAACTTTTGAATATTCAATTGTTTTGAAACCATCAACTATATTCATATTTTTCTGCTATCAGTGAGAAAGATAACATTTTAGATTTCTTGTATGTCAGGTTTGCTAATGATTTCTTGCCAGGCCCACCCGAAGTATAAATACAAAATGCTTATAAAGTTAATGATTTTCTAAGACTTCAACCATGAATACTGTGTAAACAATGATAACATTATCAGTGCCATAGTCTTGGCTAAGGATCAGGTTTAGGCTGTTATAAAGCCATTTCAGAATCACAACTCTTTTCTTTATCTGTAACCCTGACCACATTCTTTACAAAGTCTCTAGATAATAACGACATGCCCAAGAATTATGTGTTAGCTCTGGTGTTTTGAGACCTATTTGGCAAATGTATCATTTAGACCATATATCAAGTTTTCCTGACATATAATAAAAATACACTTTGAAAATCAAGGGAAGGATCATGACAAGAATCATAGAGAACAGTGGTTGTTGTTTCAAGGGTTTTTAGTTCTTCACAAAGTTATGACATTTCTACCTTGATGAACTTCTGTGGTTCCATATATGTCAAGATACACAGTGTGAAGTTGTATCAAGTTTTGAGTGCAGGGTATTCAATAAGGAATTCATTCTATGTTCACATGTAAGTAAAAGCCTCCTTCTTTCCTCCCTCCCTCCTTCCCTCCCTCCCTCCCTCCCTTCTTGGGGAGATAAGGCCAGAGCAAAATCCAGAAGCACGGTCCTTTCTCTCTCACCTTATATTGGGTCCATTTGGCCTGGCTGGCGGCTGCCAGGAGACCCTGACCGCCGATTCACTTAGTGGGACTGCGGACAATGGGTGGACGTCCTGAGGCAGGCCGGGGTGGGTGGTCACACGGGTGGGCAAACTCTCCGTGCACCCTCCTAGATACCCGCCGCCCTCGGCGCAAGCCACGACGGTGACAGAATAATTTGTGAAAGGGGTCAGACGAGCGATCACCCGCCTCAACGCCGAGGGGGCGGTGTCGGTGACTGGGACGTGAGCGTTGGGCATACGGATCTCGTAGCGGAGCACATCTCCGTTCTGGGTGAGCGGGGGCTTCCAAGTGACCTGTAAGAGAGGGCAAACTTAGAATCGGCGTGACAACGCAGGAACTGAGCAACTGAGGTTCTCAGGGCCTCAGGTTTCGCTCGGTCTGAGCATCAGTTCAGTCGCTTCCTCCATGGCTGCTTGGGCCTGAGGCTGGGAGGAAGGGTTTGGGTCAGTTAGCAGGGCCCCAGGACCTGGACCCTGTGCTGTCCCCTGGGTTTGGCATTCAGTCTTGATCCTTCCGAGGACTTCCACACTAATACACACCTTGGTGACCCATCTGTGCAATGGGGGACCTGAGGGACACCGAGCACACACAGGCAGCAAATTCACACGGCCGCGCACACCCCCGCGGCAGCCCACAGCGGCTATTGATGGGTTTCCCGTTCAGAACTCAATCAAGTGAAACATCGGGGCTCCTCACCTTGCATGGCGCGTGTGTGCTCTAAAGATACAACCACTCTTTTGGGGGGATGGCGACGGGGGGTCATTATTTACATTTTCTGAGGATGTACAGTTGAGATCCTATGTCTCACTTGTGCATGATGTAGAAGGTGAAGCAGTAACACCACCTACAGTTCTTAAAGATGAGAGATGCACAGAAGGCTTTTACAAAAGCAAGAAAGGATGGTCATTTTCGACTCATGGACTTAAGCATCAGCAGGAACAATGTTTTATAGTGAAATACCGTGTTTAACATTCCCTTTCTCTTCTGGGTAAATTTTGCAAGAGCACAGTGGTAACATATTTGCGCTCTTGGGCAAAAAGGACCCTAGAAAAAAGTGCATAGGCCCTGAAAAAATTCACTTATTTATGTGCTGTCCCGAGTCATCTCTTTTATTGTTGCTTTGCAACCTCCCTTTCATGTTAGACTATACATTTCATCTCCTAAATAGACCGTGAGTCTCTCAACGGCAGGGCCTAAATTGTACACCCATTTGGTCCCATGCCCACAGTGACAGAGTTCAGGCAGTAACTGGAATCCTGGCCGACTGAAAAATATTTTTCCTTAGCACACAGTTATTGTACTTTGAAATTCTGAAAGACAGACTTTTACCAAAGGGTATATTAATATCTCCATTTGTAATCTCATACAAAATCAAACTCAAAAAAGAACTAAAAAATTAGAAGAGAGGGCTGACCAAAATGTTCTATATTAAATCAAAGAGAAAAAATTCCCTCCAGAAGGAATACCATCTGAGATTTTCACTGGGTGTATTTCCAAAAAGGGAGGATAAAATCATACCCCACCCTGAGTGTCGGTTGGGCGGCTGCTTGATGATTACTGTCCCCATTAATAACAGCAGCCCAGTAAAGGATTTATCTGGATGTAAAAAAAGATCAAAGAAACCTGAAGCAAGCAAAGGCTAGTAACAGACATAGGTTTCTATTTGTTTCGGCGGCGGCGGGGGCGGGGGTGCCCTACACTCTGTGGACCGGAAAAATGAGTCAAATTCAAACTCAAGGGGCTTCTTGGTACTTGTAACATAAATAAAAAACAAAAGGGTTATCCCAGCTAAAGCTGACCTGACTCATACGTGGAATAGCAGTTCTCTGCTTCTTGAACCAGAGAAATCTGAGTTCCAGTCAAAGTTTGGCACTTCAAATATTTAAATTCTTAAAATTTCTTTGTATATTTATGGGGAAATCATCTATTTCTCTATGGTAGGTGTTACAGATGGATTTTCCCAATCTGTCTTTTGAAGTTTAACTTTTTTGAGGGGCCTTAAGTCTTGCAGAAAACAACCCAATTATCTTCTAGGTAAATAAAACTATCTTTCCCTTTTAAGGCTCCTAAGGGTTTTTTTTTCCTTTAAATAATTTAGAAGGAGCCCCATTCCCCAAATTTAAATAACATAAAATTCTTCTTTATATTCTTCTACACTTTCTGTTTTTAATATCAAAGTTTTAATTTATTGACATTTAGTTTTTAATAGAGTATGACAGGTCTATTTTTTTTCCTTACATACAAATGGTATCACTTTTAAAGCAAACCATTCTTTCCTGATGAAACATCACTTCTCCAATAACTTCCCACTTATACTTGTATCTGCGTCTCAACTCCCTGGTCTGTTCCAATGACCGTCTGTCCATTCTAGGCCAGCACCGCACGTACTGTTGTGATTCGGTGGCTTTGGAGTAAGTGCAAATGCTAAGGAGGATGTTACCTCACTGAACTGTTCTTTCCAATTCTCTAGGATATTTCTAACACTTGGTCTTCTTTTTAAAATGAAAATCCTTTTATCCACTTTAAAACAAAACACACACATGGCCAGCACACCGGTTCATCGGCAGTGGCGTGTCTGCCAGCTGTGGACGGGCTGACTTGCTGCGGAGCTTGACGCTGTCCAGGCAGACGGCGCGGCTGCCTTCCATTCCAGAGTCTGGGAGGCGCGCGCAGCGGGGACCCTCGGCTCCCCACTGCTGTGAGGGACTCCCGACCCCTGCTCCTTTCGCGACCCCAGGCAGCCTACCTGCCTAGAGCAACAGCCTCTCTCTGAGAGGGCTGTCGCAAGGATTCGGCGAAAACAATGACCGACACTTAGTATGAACTCAGTAAGTATTGTCATTTTCATTTCCTTCCATAAGACTTCACGGTGTGTTTTAAAATTTTTCTCTTGGGGTTTGCTTTCAGTAGACATCCGGGACTGTCCCATCTTTAAAAATAGGTGAGAATGTTGATTAAGACTCAATTCCTTTCGCTTCGGTTAGAGTACAGCCCACAGTAAAGCTATGCCTGGACACAGTCCCAGTGACACTGCTGTCCCCGGTGACAGCTGTGAGATGCAGCTCCCTGGCCAAGTTGATCTAAACTTGATCCAGCAAGCTGACAAGCCATGCGCATTGTTTCCTGCCTGCATGAGGCTACGCAATCAAAACAGTGAATTCGAAGAAAGAAAAAGCCAGGCTACTTGTTTCGGAGACTTTTGATCATCATTTACTGAATCAAACAGAATTGTGCATTGAGCCATTGTTCTTCTAAAAGTGTTTGTTCTTTTTTCAGATCTGCCTGTTAAGCGTTTGTTAGAAAGAATCCAGGATAATGTCCACTACACGGCGTTGCCTTTGTTGCAGGGACTGTGTTTGTGCCACATCATACTGAGTGGTACTGCCACCGAAGTTTTGCAGAATTCCCTCAGGATTCAAACAAAAAGTCATTTCTGGGATGATTAATAACGCCAGGTTTGTTTGGGGTTTTGTTGTGTTTTGTTTTTCCTTTGAATGAAGAACAAGTCTTAAGATTACCCAATTCATATAATGCACGCTGCACATCATGTACTTCCAATTAACTTCTTTTTAGTGTTTTATACACAGAATTCCATACACGTTTGATATATCTATCAAAAAGGGATGTTGCTTTGAATAGCCTCACATTGTAACAAATTAATGAAGAGTTTTAAAAACAGAATTTAGTTTGTAGGTTAAATTAAATTTCTTTGACGATCTCCCCTACTTAGCATCACCTAGTGTTTGCTTTTGGTGGGGGAGAGGGAGCACCCTACGCCGATCCAAGTCATAATTTCAACAGATGAACTTTGCTGTTATGCAAATGTCCTTTGTTTTGTGCTCTGGTGAGCAAGCTACTGTACCGATGCTTTTGGCAGTAGTACAAGCCCGAAGCCATGGAGCATGTGTGTATTTACACAAAAGAGGCTTCTAAGCTACAAAACTCCCTCCTGTTTGGTTACACTAATTTCCCTTGAATGAAGTTTGTATGCAAGCCAAAACAATGGTACTTATCCTGGCCTCTGGAGCTCATTCCCTGCAGGATGAGGTGAATGACGGAACACTTTCTAGATCGCCCAGTAATAGGCTATTTGTATTTTTTCCCCCATCAGTTTGATTCATCGATCATTAAAAAGAAATCTGAATTTTGGTAATTGGAACTTTTGTTAATGTGCTAATCCATCCCCCCGTATTTCCCTAACCCTTCTCATTTTCTGATCTATTTAAATCTGACGTGGTGGTTAGGCTAAGCATCCCATTGTGGCATTCAAACTACTTCAGGTGTGTGAGGCAAATGGAAGCATCTCAACAATATAATTAAAGGGATACAGGGAGAAATGAAAAACTGACATCGAATGCAAGATAGTTTGGGCCAAAGGCCAAAACCCTGTTTCTCCAGTGAATGCCTAAAACAACAAATGTGTGGATTTTGTCAGTAGATGGCTCTGTTCCACACAGAGTCAACCCAGGGTACATT